AAGTTAAACACATTTGGACAGTGAAGGAATGTCAGGATTCTTGCTCAGAAAAAGGATCAACATGCTCTGAAGTCAGGGCACAAAAACTTTTTTGTAACAAAATATCGATTTCTGCTGTCCCTGTATCGATACATTATTAACAAACAAAATATCACGATACTACACAGTATTGATTTTTCCCCCACCCCTAGTTGGTACCTAATTTAACAACTCATGGTGTAGGACAAGATGTGCAGGTCTTTGCAAATGACTATATAAATGAAGTATGTGAACCATATGAAGAATAAACTGTATCTGATATATAAAATGATAAGTCAGGCATGAAAGCCAGAAGTCTACACTTCCCTGCTTTGATTAGTAATCTGACAAGGTAGTGGAATAGCTGAGAACCAGAGGTTAACTGTTCGAGTGTTGAGCACGACAGCTTTTTGTAAGACATTTGAGGGTTCTGCATTATTAAGCAAGTGCAATTTAAAGATTGATGAGAAACACACGATCCCTTTCTCCTGTCAGGAGGGCAGTCACTGCTGAGTCACAGTCACATCCAGCCCTAGAGCAGGGCAATAAAATATTAAGAGGGCCCAGGGAGCGAGGGGCTAGGCATCACCAACTGATATTTAAATGCAACACAGAGGAACTGACACTTTCCAGGTAAACCAGAACATAAACACAGTGGGATAGACCACAAGAACTGTGAGAACAATCTCCTCAAGAGGGATGACCAAAGAGATCCCGACACTTGTGGTTAACCAAAAAGTAAGTTTATAAACTGACTGAAACAGAACTAAAATAATCTTTTTGTAAAGTCTGTCGGGTTTTCACATATTTCGGTGTTGCACAGCTTCCAGGCTTAAAGAGGGTATGTCACAGTAGGATAAATGATGTATTGTGTTGATGCTATTACCTAGAAGCAGAAATGTGAGTCATAAAAATCAGCATCTCTTTAAGTCAGCAGGTACCTGGGATCATGGGTAATCAGATACCACTTCACAAAGTCAAGAAAGCCATCATTATTGACTGTGCTTTCAGGATTCTGTGCTATCTAATCCTACCAAAAGACTGTTCCAGTGTCTGGGATACATTAACATACAAGCGGGTCAAGTATATAACTTTGTTGTTATAAGTTGTGGCCAACTCGACTAAAAATCAGTCTTCTAGCATAAAATTCTAATCAATAATCTGCACACACATGTTTTTCTCTTCAACTCAGCTCACAAATCTCTGCCGCCTGTTTTTATTCAAAGAATACTCACTTTAAGTGGTGATGTGGAGCACAACAAGGCTGGCAGACTAAACCACTGCAGACTTAACGATAATCAAATGTGCAAAAAATAGAAAACTTTCATGCTGAGGGTTCATAATGTATTGTAAGTGTTATTCATGCATCTTCATGGCATGCAATAAAATGTGAAATAAACATGGTTAATAAGGGAATCTCTGAGCACTGTTGATGATGCATTTATCTCTCCTTACATGACGCTTTCATTCCTGTTTGCACAAACTGCAGAAAATCAGTGCATTTGGAATGGAGCGATTACTCTAAACTACCAAAACCTAAAATTTGTCTATTCATACATTCATTCAAAATCTATGTTCTATATTATTTCAATCTGTAATATCACCTCTTCTAGTCTTTTCAAAACTGAAAAACTAACTAGGTGTAAACCAAATCCATCTAAATGTTCAAAGACTAGAATGCATCATTTCCAGTGGTGAAAATAAAATAAATAAATATGTGTGTGTGTGTGTGTGTGTGTGTGTGTGCATAAGGAGAACAGGTTCCTCACATTTTGTTCTTTCGTTTCTGATACTTTGTTACCATGTCTTGCAAACTGGCCGTGGTGATGATGATGGTGATGATGAAGAAGTGGGGGGGCAGGAGAAATAAAAAAAAAAAGAAAACAACAACAACAAAGAAACAAAAGAAACAAATAGAAAAAATTGAATAAAAATTATGACAAAAATGAAACGTGAATGATATTCAAATTATTTCAGGAATTAATGTGACGACCCAGTTTTTTTTTCTCTGAACCTTTTTAAGGGACAAAGAACAGACTACTTCAATCTGACCTTGCAGAATGAATAGAAATCATTTTTCTTTCGTTTTTTGAAATAGTTTATTATTCAAAGATCACTTTAGTGTATCTAACTCTGTCCCTTACTGTTTTATACGCTCTGCCCATTAACTTTGACTTTAATTCCCAGCGGTATAAACTTTCTTTACAATGTCTTTACAATGTGGTTGTAAGAGTTTCCCCTGCAAACAAATTATTGCACCTCCATAATATAGCATGTATATTTCGGTTCAATAGCATGATATGCATTTCAGCTTTTGGGTCACAGTTAGAGAAATCTTTGGTGCAGCACAGAAGAAAAGAAATGCATCGTCTGTAAAGACAAGCATATCATATTCATGCTAAATTTATATGAATGAAAATCTGCAGTGCGATTTCAGCTTGAGATCAAATCTCACTCTGTCAAAAAAGGATACAGCTATTGTATACTGTTTAACAACTTTCATTGGAACTGTCAGTGGAGCTGATGTTCAATGGTCAATGAGAGCTCAACATGACAGCTGTCCTGGCTGACAGACAATGACTGGTTTGTTGACATCATTTTAATTGTGAAATTTTTCTTCTTGGATACCTTGTCAAACTATAACCAACTTGATGAAAACAGTCTTTCAGATAGATATAAAAAAAGGCAGGCACCAGTGAAAACAGTTAGATTGTCACATTAAAATATTGATGATGTTCTCCAGATTTAATCTTGAGAACTCGTATTGTGACCACTACAGAAAAGAGTGATTTTAAACCTCAGCTTCAGTTACACATATAAGTGGCCTCATACCTGTTAATAAGGTCTTCGTTGTCATCACTCTCCATCTCGTCCTCAATGGCTGCCTGGAGGTCACCAATCCTTTTGAAAGCCAACTTAAGGTCTGCCTGCAGGCTCTGATTTGCAGCCTCCAAGCTCTCAATGTCCATTTCCTGTTAATGAAGCAAGAGATAAAATGAACCTTTCAGCTAGTCTGGACCAAAGGCTGATGAGTTCAGTGTTGCTGATATATTGCTTGTGGATGCTGTGCAGGGTGTCCTAACATGTCAGTAGCATATGACTGCACTGCTTAGTTTACTGATATCATTCTCATTGCTGTCTTACCAGCTCATGCTTCTTGCGGCTGGCCTCTGCTTCTTTTTTGGCCAGCTCAGCCGTTTCTTCTTTGATGTCACGGATCTGTCTCTGGAAACGTTTGTTTTGTTCCTTCTCTCGAATCTCACCGCTGCTGCGCTGATCTCGTTCCTCCGTCAGCTTCTCCAAGTTCTCCTTAAGCCGAGCTAAATGGCTCTGTCAGCAACAAAGGGAGATGGTTAGAGACAGAGACTGAAACTATAAATATATAGATATGGCATGTAAAATGTGACAAATATGATGTATAGTAATGGTGGTGAATGTAACATTTAAGAGAAACTGTACCAATCAGGTATCTCACTGATGTGCAACCCCCCCCCCTCCAAAAAAAACAAAAAAACCCAAACATCTTATCCATGGAGGCCCAACCTCTTGAATTCAAGTACCTGCTGCTCATGTCTCGGTTCCTGATACAACAGGATGCCTTCAGGGGTCTTGTGAAGTTTCTGTTTTTATAAGGCAATGTTGTTTTATGGAATGAGGTGGACCTACACATTAATTGTGTGGTTGAAAATCTGTATCAAAGTATATAGCAAATCACTGCTGGCCAAATCTGGGGCCAAAGCGATGTTCTGACTGACCAGCATCCCTAGACCCAGCTGATGGTATGATTAGGTTTAGTGTCACTACTGGTAGTATGACACAGTATTAGCTGGAGATTTAGTTCCACCAGGATGGTACATGTCCATTTCCAAAAGGTTTACACAACTTTGTAATTATTAATTTTTTTTTTGTCCACCCTTGTCTCTTCTCACCCACAAGTGGTCACAGCAGATCACTGCCTCTCCCTAAAACTGGTTCTGCTGGAGATTTCTTCCTGTTAAAAGAGTGTTTTTCCTTCCCACTGTTGCCAAGTGCTTTCTCATAGGGGGTTGTCTGATTGTTGGAGTTTTGTATTACTGTAAAGTCCCAGCACAGTCTCAAGAGCAAAGAGGAGATTCCAGGAGATGGGCATACTCTTGGAGAATTGGACAGGTCTGTAGATGGTTGTTAAACCATCATCAATAAAGGTATCTGCTCCTTTGTGCAAGAAGGAACAGGATGAGGACTGCTAGAGCCCTGCAAAATGACCTTGAACAGGCCCCTGGTATGAATG